CGTCTTGGCGATTTCACGCGCCGCAGAATCCCCGTTCGCAACGCTCGATCCGCGTTTCATAATCCGCGCGATGTTCGCGTTCTGTCTAGACCAACGGAGACCAGCGGAGAAGACTGGTCCCAAGGACGAGGATCGTTACAAACGATTCGCTGGACGCATCGAAAGCGAGACTCGTCGCATCGGACATATCGAGGATCGGCACACGCGCAGGGTCCGCCATTTTTCTACCTTCGACTTCACTTCGCCGAGGATCGCGGTAAACAGAGTGTAGCCGCGCGCAATCGATGTAATGAGCCCGGCAAGCGAGTTGCAAAATGTGTAGACGATCGCGGCACACGGGGGCCTTAGATTTATGCTTGCAGTGAGGCAACGCGAGATCGGCGCGAAAACGGGCCGCGCTCGATGACTTTGCCACCGCGGATGGAAACGAGACGGGTGTCGAAACTTGTGCATTATTAAAATTATTGCCTCCCGGAGTGATCTTTATAGTGGCAAATGATAGGTTGTCGGCTAGGCCGTTTCTCTGATACCACGACCGAGCTCCGGGTTCCAGTCGATAAGGGGTAGATCTGTATTTTAATAGCTCAGACCATGACGTGTTGCATTAGATCCAGTCTGCGGAGGAAGCACGATGCATGGCGATTATTAAAGGCATCCTTGAACGAAACCTAGAGAAACGGTCGCGGTGTTGTTCGCGATAATTGGTCAGTTTCCGAGAAGAGGAGGTCGTTGAAAGTTTCAACTTGAATTTAATTCGCGAGGCTAATAGCTCGGCGGGTCTTCTTCGTAATTTCGCAAAGTGCCGAACTGGGAGCCGTGCAAATGTCACGTATCGCACGAACGGCGTAATCGTAATGTAATACAGTCGGTTTCAAGCGGTGCCTGGTGACACGTAGCGTGCTTAGCAACGGGTGTTAAGGATCTATAGAAATTGCTATAATACGGGTCAATGCGATTTGGTTAATAACAGCGTGTGTGGAAATTCGAGGGACCATCTCGCAAGTTGTCGATATTTATCGAAAGTTGCAGACTCAGAACAGGACGAGATTATTCCTCGCTTAATAACAAGCTTTCCATCCGTCTGCCAACCTTTCGAGATCTTACGAGAACAGTCGTATTATGAATACAGTACGCGAAAAATCGAATACAGGGAAATATCTATCAGATGTCAGAGTTCGCTGCTGATGGATAGTGGAAATGGGAGGAAGTATTGGATGGTGTCCAGAAATACAATGGCGGAAATGTCCAGATTTGCAATAGCGGAGGGTGAACGAGCGGAGGTGCACCGCGAAATCCGGTTCGTCGGATCGTAGGTGTCGGATAGGAATGGAAACAAGCTTATTCTATCCTCACGAGAGATGGCATGACTCAACATATTCATGAACGCGTATTTTATTGAAATTCCTTGTAAATATCGAGCCTGTTCGTGGAATTAGCGGTACGTTCTTATAAATTGTCAAACAACACCTTTTTCTCGGACGTGAATCGAAACGGCCTGTTGGGAATTCCGGGCTGTTACGAAGTTTCTTTTAATAAACCGGACTGTCCAAATAGGCTAGGCAAAAATTTGGCAAAAAAAATCCCGATGTCTTCCACGATACGCGAACGGGGAAAAATATAATCGGACTAGATCTCGGAATTCCTACTTAATTATCCTCGTATCGATCGTTCATCGAATTCCGGTATCTTGGGTGCAAAAAATATATACGTAAAACGCGAATAACAAAGCGTGTAGGCAAAGAGCAGCCATTCCTGGACCAAAACGTTCCCGTTCCTCGAGTTTCATCGACGCGATCCGCACTCGCGAACGAAAGCGATCTGCACGGGATGAACAAGGTGAAACCACGGAATCTGTTATCGCTACCTTGTAACATATATCTTTTTATGATCGCGCGTTCACGCATCCGCGAGACGACGTTCATTAGACGTTGTACCCGACAGCTCAACCCGGAGTGGTATCGGTAACGAGAAAACGTACCCCGAGGTATCGACTGACGTGGCGCTTCTGGATGATCCTCGACCTGCACAGCACCTCGGTCCGTGCAACCGGTTAACGAATAACCAGCCATCTTCGGGAGGCGTTGAATTCCAACCGAGTCACTGGCTTCTTGGCGGACGAATTTTTTGCATAAACTACAAGAGTGCCGGAACAAACAAAACGTGAACCAGGAGGTAATAAAAAGAGATGACTTCTTAACTCCATCAGGATCTTCCGAAAAACGACGAACGTTTACGGCCTGCTCGAAGCCTCTAGCCACTTAAGGATCTCCGAGGCACAGAGAGAACGTCGAACAAGAGGGAACAAAGATCGATGACCTAACGAGTTCCACATTCGCGATGAGATAATGCTCCTCCGCTCCATGGAATATTATTATATCACGTTATCGCGGGTGTCGCTCGTTTCGCCATTTCGTCCTTGCAGCGCGAAGAGGAAGACGAAGGTGGAGCCGAAATCGTTCATCCCCACGATGGATCGGTGAGAGAAACAACAAGGAGGAACGAAAAAGAGTGCGAGTTTCAGAGTGTCGCGTTACCTGGGCCCAGCACAGGTGCGGCGCTTCGAGGCTGACCAGTGTATTGAATTCCACAAAAATTCTTAACGACGCCTCTCTTTGAGCGTCGCCCAGGCCATTCTCTCCATCTCGGTCTCCGTTCCCGATCGGCAACGCGGCTTTTCCATCCTGCTCCGGCTAGTTGCCGCTCTTTTGCCTCTCGCGTCTCGAAAAATTTCGAGATATACCGGCTCGACAACGAATACCTGTCACCGAGAGCGCGCCGACGGGTATCGAGATTCAGTTATGAAACTTCGATTCCGACAAATAAGTCGGCGCCATTCTCCTCCATTGTCTAGGAGCTTGCGTAACGCGAGTCGTATCTTTTCATCCTGGCATATGTAATTTCGCCAACAAATATGTCCCCGAAGGATTCTCCTACGGTGTACCTACATGCGAGATGGTATAGAGTGCGACGAGGATTTAGAGCACGGGAATCGAAGGTGCATAGTTAGCTAGCTATTCGTTCGAGGTGAGGCTCTAGTCTCGTGATGGGAATGGAGACTGATACCGATCGAATTGGGTTTGGAAAGGTTGGAAGAGTCGAACATTTATCCTAACTCTAACAGACACTCGACGTTATTTCAAAATTCTTCCACAATGGTAGCTAAAAAGTGGACAAACGGTGGACTACATCCGTAAGTGGTAATTCAAAGACAGTCCTTTGTCTTGCTCCTTTAAAAAGAGACTCTCTAACCAAGCTAGTACGCAACCTAGTATTAGTCAGCCAATTACACGGTTAACCAAAGAGACCGCTTGGCGAACCATAGCTCCCTAATCCCTAGGATTCTAACTAGTATCCAGTATCATTCGCGTATCTGATTCAACGAGACTCAACAACGTAGCAACAAGAGAACGATGAATCGGTGTCTGGGCAGCAAAGACGTCCGGTGGTCGTGGTCCGGCGAGTCCCGGAAGATCGCCTGGTACCGGCGGCAAAAATGCGGCGCAAGGCTGCTTCCACGTTATTTTCTGAATCGGCCACGCCCGACAGGACACATAAATCGTGGGTAGGTCGGCGTTCCATTAGAGACCCGATACTTCGATCCGTGCCGAGCGAAAAAGCGACTCGGACGAAAAAGAAGCAAGCGAGCTCGGACCTTGGGCGGTGGCCAGCGCGGCGAAGGTAGGCCACAGGCTCGGTGCGAAACGTGGCTGATTTACGTGCGAAAATGGCCAATTAACTGGCGTAATCGGCGTGCGTACGCACGAGCCAGCGCCGGCCAGCGGGCCAGCCAGTGTCAAAGTCGCGGAAATGCTCAGCGCGGTTCTCCGCTGGCCCTGAAAACCTTTCGCGGCCGTGTACCTCCAGGCGTGCTTCGCCAGCGCCGGGAATGAAACGACGACGACGATTACGACGAAGACGAAGACGTCGACGACGACGAGGCGTCGATTCAACGAGAGAAGAACATTGGTAGCAACGAGCTGGCCAGCGGAATTCGAGAGTGCACCGGCGTTGTGTAACGATCAAACCGGAATATCGGGAGCTCGGTCCCCCGAAATTCTTCCTTCGAGCCCGAAGTGGGAGCACTCTCGAGGACTCGTTTACTTCTGAACGTGGCTCGATTGCAACGTGCACCGTTTCGCTATAAGAGTAGAGGAATCCCTCGTTAGAATGGCGCGTCTCGAACTTTTGGAGACCAATCCCCTATAGACACTCCCTCTATTCGAGAAGACAGAGGAGAATTGGATAGGAAAGGAGCACCGATTTCGTCGGGTCGGTGCATCATCCCCGCTGGTATTTCGACGCGGTGAAACGCGCGATACGAATACCCGCAGACAGGACCGAGCTAGAACAATGAGGCGTTGCGAGACTCTTTCGAAAACGACGTCGGCCGGTA